ATAAGCTCATGTAAATTTGTTCCTTGGGATACAGTGGTAGATGTAATCATTAATGAAGTTATAACAGGAGTAAGTATTAGCTATTTTACATAACTATTAAGTCTCATATTAATGCATCATTGCATTTGTATTTACAGCAAAGGGTATTATATTACCTTACAATTATAGTGAAAGAATCTGTAGATGGAAAGGAATCAGTAAAACTAATTCCTTTATTCCAAGAGTTAATACCTGAAAGAAAATGCCTGGAATATATGTACGAGAGACTAGCTGGATTGATTGGATGCAACAAAGCGAAAATCCAGTTTTAACTGTGCCTGGTTCATATTGGCTGTGTCATAAACATAATATATATAAATTTATATTTAAATATCATCGAACAATTAGGTAGATATTATGAAAGATGACATCATTATTAAAATATCATTGATTTTAATATACATATATTTATAGAACCATAAAGCATTTTACCTATGGAAAAGAATTAATGAAAATAATTAGGAGAATTATAAAAAATCCACCACGCCAAGGACAACAATTTAGTACAAACAATCTTTTAGTTACCTACAGTATCCTTTTCTTATGAATTTAAAATTAATTTTATCTACTACAATACATTTAATAACTGAATACTATATTTCTTATAAATTAGAAATTTCTTAACTACAATACACATTGGTATAGATCATACATCTTGGACTAGACATGATAAAATATTTGCAATGACAAAATTTAAGGAACGATCTGCTGCAGCATGTTCTCATGCATTTGTTCTTACTATAAAAGTAATGTCTCTTTTAGAGAGCTCAGAACAGGCTATCAAGTATGCTGTAACAACTTGTTCTGATAAACCGTTAGTTTGGAATACTAAAGAATTAGTACCCTCTTTTCATAATGATTTTCCAGAACATAGCAAACAATGTAATATTATACAAGAGAAAGTATTCGAATTAAAAAATGTCAAGCAGATAGATGATAATTTCACATTAAATAAAATGACAAAGAACTCGACAAATAAGGAACTAGTTAAACAAAGGACACATAATAAAGACTTTAATAAGCCTCAGCCATCCATAACACTTAGTGAATTATCTGAAAATGTAGGCATTAATAATAAACAAAAATTAAATACGTATTTAAACGACAGTAATGAAAAATCTGAAAAGAGAAATAATTGTACTATAAGTAATAAACATTCAACGGTAGCTAATGTTGAGGAGGATAGATTAATGTCCAATCGATTGCAAGATTCGAATATCTTAAAAGAAGAAACTATTGAAAATAAAGATTATAGTAACAAAGTGGACGAAGACATAATTAAAAATATTATCTCTGAATCGGATAATAGTGAAGTTAATTCTACTAATGTAGATTCTGCTAGTTTACCTTATCAATACTTGATTGAAAGAGAAATCGAAGATGCGAAACTCAACACAATTAATCTCAAAAGTCCAATACTTGGTTCTAAGAAACGTAAGAGACACGAAGTAGATGAAAAGTCCTCTGTTGCTTCTGACGACTTACTCATAGTTGTTCCAGAGACTGATGAGCCAGTTTCTTCTACAAAAAGAAAACGAGGCTCCGATAACGTAACATCAAAATCTTCTGATATTACGGATTTAGTAATGGAAGGATTAATGTTTACTATTCGGCAAGCACAAGGTACTGTAGTTATAGAACAAAAAACGAAATCGGAGTTAGGTGAAGTGTTAGAAAATTCTGAAAAAATTGAGACGAGAAAACAAGAAAAATGTCTACGAAATTCTAGTTTGCTTGGATTGGAAAATTTAATTACTATGATCGAATCACCGAAGAAACCTGAAACTCAACAGAATCCTCAAACTATAACTATGCAAGAGAACACTTCAAAATACCAAAATACAAATAAGTATACATTTAATAATGTGAATTATTCCTTCAAAGATATTTGTTTTACTAATGCACGCTTAAATAGAAACTCTCATAAAATGAATAAGAATCAGTACACTGAAATGTATGAAACAAATATAAAATTAACTGACAATGAAGATTTGCAGTATGGCAAAGAGAATAAAGAGAAAGAGGAATGGGAAGAGGAAGAAGACATTATACCAGAAACATTGCAAAATCTCTCTCCTCAAACTTCAGTTCTTTCTTTTGAAAGAGTAAATAAATCTATACAAGATATGACGGATAAAGATTTATTAATGGATGACATAGGTACTGAAATATCAGCCAAACTTGGGGTAGCAATTGAACGAGATTCACATTTTGCTAAAAAACTTAAATTACAACATGAAGGTGTAATTAATAATATTAAAAAAACAAATATTCCAATAATAATTTCAAATGAAATTATTGCTACAGACCAAATACCTCTTCCATTACAAAAAATACTGCACAATAAGTCGTCAACAAATCTTACTTCTATAAATAGTACAAATGAAACAGAGAAGAGAAATTTTAGTTACAACATACATGCAGAAAGGCTGAGTTTGTATTATAATATATTGGAAGGTTCTGAATCCTTGGAAAGTTCTCAAACTCTTACATCAAGTGAAATTGAGAGAAGCAATATAAATGCACCACTTTTAACATTAGAAGGCGAACATACAAATATTGATCTTACAAAAAACAAGCTGAAAGAAAGTAAGGATAAACACTCTACTAGTATTAATAAAGTAGAACAGATATCATCACGTGAATTACAAGACGTTACACAGGAATTTTATCAAAATATTTTATATTTAGAAAAGAAAAAAAATTTAAATGATCAACATTTGACAAAAAAATCTGTAAATATGATTCAAGATCCACATACCCCTAATGCTCATATAGAAATGATAAAATTTTTTCATGATATTACAAAAGGTGCCAAAGTTGTTATAACAAGGATGAGTACAAAAAACATTCACAATATAATAGCAAAAAATTCTTAGTTACTTGTAAAATGCAACGAACTTACATCAAATGCACTGAAAATAAAATTTTAAACAATCTTTTAAGTATTTTAAGTAAATGTCATATAATTTATC